ACAGAGAAAATTGAAACCCCTAAAAAAAATTAGATATACAAAAGCCAAACAACAATTCCAATTCTATAAATTAAAAAATAAAAAATTAAAAAAAAAAAGACCCGATTTTTATTATCTGTAATAAATGAAGAGATCAGTCAAGAAAAAAAAAGGGTTTTGCTTTTTCTCGGTTACAGATTTTGGCGGATTCTCTGAATGTATGTATGTATGTGTGTGTGTATGCACAGAATCAATCGATAGAGAGAGAGAGAGAGAGAAGGGTCTAAATGCAAATAATTTTTTTGAGGGTTTTCTGTAACAAATTCTTGATCACAAGTGGCAGTGGTTTTTGGGTGGTGGTTTACGGAAGGCACTAACAGGTGGCCTTGGTTTTTGGCTCCTTTTACACACAGTGAAGTGTGTGACTGTGTGCATATACATATAGCATAATAATATGTAATTTTGTAGAGAGAGAGAGAGAGAGAAGAAAGAGAATTGAAAGTGTATTAAAGCGAGGGGGCGTTAGAAATGGTGGGGGGTGGGGGTAGGGGTAGGGTAGGGGCGAGCCAAACGTAGGATGACTTGAGCTTTGTTTTTTTTTGTTTTTTTTTATTTTTTTTTTATTTTAATAATCGAGCTCGCAAACAACTATATCGGTGTATATCAGTGTGGAATTGGACGCATTGGATTGAAATTAACACTTTTGAAAATAATTTTGACATTTTTATGTTTGGAAATGACGAACCAATTTCAATTACATTCTGAAAAAATTGGGAAAATCGGAAATTTTGGATTGAAATCAACGGAATTCGGAAAATTCCGATTTTTCAGTTACTAAAATATAATACATCTAATAATAATGATCAAGTAGGTGTAATTCTACGAAAAATATAGTAATTTTTGGAATAATTTTCTAACATTGAAATCAGATTGGAAATCGAAATCTCATATATATTTCAGATAAAAAAGAAAAGAAATTAGAAAAAATCTGAATCGGAATTTTTGAAATTGTGAAAGAAAAATGTTGTTCCAAAATCGAATATTTTTGGATGAAATAGATGGAAATTGAAAATCTTGTTCTAATTTCCACACCTAGGTGTATTGGATAAATTTTAAATTATGTGCAATAATTTGCAAAGTGCACGAGAAATATAAATTATACTCCCTATGTTCCAAAATAATAATTTCTTGATTTATTAAAAATAGATATTGTTAAACCAAAATACTCTTATTTATTAATTAATGCAGAGAGAATGTTGAAGAGTAAATAAGGGCATAATTGAAAAATATGTAATTAGTGTAGTATCGGAATTCTAAAGTGACAGATAATATGGAACAAAAAAAAATCTTAAAGTGACAGATATTATAGAACGGATGAAGTACTAGATTAATCATGTGTAATGAGGAAGGTCGATTTAGAAAATGTTGGTAAAAATGAGTTCGAATTTAAACCACATGATATTGTACTTATTTACTCCACCAATTAAATCACTATTTATGGCCTAGGGGTAATATGCTAGAGGTCCCTAGTTGGAAACATAATTAGATGTGGAATACAACCTTAATATTTTTCTATGAACTAAATCCTTTTTAGAAAAATAAATATGAGTCACATCCTCAATTTTTTTTTTATCCCTAATTTACCCTTAACCTAAATCCATAAATTCTAAAGTCACGTTTCTCTCAGATTTATTTTTCTTTTTTCTTCTCTCTCTCAATCTCGTTCCCTCTCTGCCTCTCGCATCTCGCTCCCTCTCTCTCGCATCTCTCTCTCTCTCAACAATCTTTCTCTGTATATTTCTCTCTCTCTCTCTCAATCTTTATCTCTCTATTTTTCGACATCGCTATCTCTCTCTGTCTCTTTCGTTCTCCACCACTCCAATCGACTATTGAGAGGGGCGGTGGTTATGGCGGTGGAGACGGCGGCAATAAACGGATGGTTGTAGAGGCAAGGATACGGCGACTATGGTGGTTTAAGGTCAGATCTATGGTGGAAGGCGTGGCGACGGTGTTGGGCATAGATGATGGCGTGATGGTGGCGCTCGGTGATGGTGGTGGTGGTGGATGGTGGTGGTGGAGGAGCGGATCTAGGGTTTGGTGGAGAAAATTTAAAAAAAATCGATTTGGATGTCTATGGGTGTCTATGGGTCTGGCGGCTAGGGTTTGTAGGAGTTAGGGTTTCAAGATGTCTATTGGTGACTACGGATTACTACAGTTTCCTATGGGTTTCTGAAGATGTCTACGACCGAAAAAATTAAAAAAAGTCATAATTTTCACTTTATGTAGAAAAGAAAGGGAAAAAAAAACGTGTTCCACGTAAAAAAAAAATGCTAGATGCAAACTTAAAAATGTTAAATATAATAATACCATAGTTCATCATAGTATATTTACAATTTGGTGTAATTTCAAATTTGTGAGTGGAGGGACATTTTTAGAATAAATTTAATAAAGGATGTGAAGCAAATTTTAGTTCGACTTGTCATTTAGTTCTAATAAAATTTGTCACCAGGGACTTATATCTTAAATATCTTAAGACCCATATGGCCTATTGGGTTCTGTTTGTTACTTTCTATGACAGGATATGGCTTTCATAAATCATAACTGCTTTTTGTTGGGATTGTAATTTTCATTTCCTTATCTTTTATATGAAATATATCTCCCAATTTTCATGTGTTTATTAGCAAGTTGTAGTTGGGAAGTAACCATTTATTTTCTTTTTTCACTTTTTAGACATTAAAATGTTATGGGAATGAAAATTTTGTATTTAATTTTGGATTTTGGAAATTGAAAGGGGTAAAAGAAATAGAGACATTTAACAAAAAGTATCAAAGTTTTGACTTTAACTTAACAATTTAAGACACAATTGGAATTGAGGTTAAGAGCTTTATTCTTCAAATCCAAAACTTTATTGAAAATTCATTTTCAATGAAATGGTTTGGTTCGGTTTTCATCTAATTTCTATTCTTTCTCGAAAATGAATTTGTGTTTGTTAAGATTTTCAAAACAAAAAAATCCATAATAATTTCAAAAGCTGATCTCTCTTCTAAATATGATTTGATTGTTACAGTAATAAGATCTGATAGCGTTAAAAATGTCTTCACTTAAAAACAAACAAAAATCAATTTATTTTGTCGAATGATTCTTCTAAAATATGTTCTTTCCAACACATTTAAATATGATTTGACTGTTACAATGTATTTTGTCTCATCTGAAATATAAACAAACATTACTTGAATTCTCCAATTATTCTTTCAAAACAAATTTCTTCAAAATAAAATGAAAATAATTCGTAAAACGAATCCAAACAATACCTATATATTTGAAAATTTTATCACTAGCGAAAGCATTGTCAAAAGTTTTCCATTGCATATATTTCGTTGAGATCGATATCCAAAATAGGAAATAATATGCCAAAATCAGAAAGTTTGTAAGCAAAGTTATATACCGTTTCAATATTATTGATACCAAAAATATATTTATCCTTGATATTGATAAATGATAATTGTCAACACCTATATAGACCAAATAAATGGAGTATCAAGGAAAAATACTTTCCTCTTTATTTTACTTTTAATTGGTTTATTTATAAATATTCTGTATTAGTCGAAGTTTAAAGAGTTTTCATTTTTCTTTATCTCCGGGTTCCCCATTTTGTTTCGTGATGGCGATAGAATTATAGTTGACAACCTTTTCCAATCTTGTTATCACTTTACATTATGCTCTTTATATACGTCTTTCCCAACTAGGCTACTTTTGAATCGATGTCACATATATGCTGCGGCAGAGGTGTAATTGACCACCCTTTGTATTTCAAAAGGTGCAGGATTGAAATAAAAAGAACCGAAAAATATCTTATTTGTAGAAAGAAAACAGACGATAGAGCTATATTTATCATCCCTAAATATTTTCACCAATATTTTCTTAATCATTCCAAATCTTTGCGAAAAAATTCTAAAGTCGTCTCACGGGTTAAAGTCGGGTTGTTCAGATAGAATCTCGATCTCCCAAAAATTTCATCCCCTAAAGTTTCTGCACACCCTTCAAAATTTTCATGGGTTCGCCATTGCTATATGTATGACTAATGGATGAATGGTTAACGTTTGTCAAGTAATAATTACTATATCAAATAACCATGTAATCCAAACCAAACTAATTTTAATATCCTTGTAGTATTGGTAATTATAATCACCCCTGAAACATTGTTAGAAACCCTATGGAATAATGTATTCGATAAGTTATTCCGTTAGAGTTCTAACGGTCTATTAGTTTCTGGCAGTGGTAGAGACAATATAGAGTTAGGGGGTGGCTTGACTCACCTAACATTACTTAAATTCTTATTATTTTATATAAGATTTATAAATTTTCGTCTATGGTAACATTAACGGCCCCGTGGAAAATAAATATAGTGTATATCGGTCCCCAGAACATAAGATTTTGGCTCCGGTAATTGTTTCAGGAATGTGGTTGCAATACCACATGGATCTTTAAGTTATTTTGGCACACTTCAGGGGTGTAGGTGTAATTTACCCTAGAAAATAAATAAAAATATTTATTTTTTATAGAGGTCGAACCTCAAATATCAAAAGTATAGTTGAAATTAACTCGAACTACTTGATCTTCCATTCGAGTTCTTTCAATAAAAACTCATTTGAGCACGGTTTTTTAATATACCGAACCAAGCTTTAACATATGATTGTGTTCGATAAGTCATGAAACTCGATTCGAACTCAATTTAACACAAATGATAAATTATGTACAAGAAATTCAAATTATTCTAGCTCGACTTGTGTTACGTTATTCGGCTCGATAAAAGTTCTTTCGAGTTCGACTCAATTGCTTAAAAAAACCAAGCTCAAACACCTCATTAAAAGCTCGATAAAAAT